GTCGACTATTTCACTTACACACAAGTTATAGATAAATTAGAGTATTAACGGTTTTTAATATAAAATCTTCATTCACGTTTGGATTTATAGGTACCGTAGTAGAACAACTAATGGGCTTTTAACCGAAACTGCGGCAAAATTTGTGGGCTTAGCCCATTATATTTATTGACTTATTTTAAAAGAAAGAAACCAAGAAAGTGGGAACAGCTAAGATGACGCGTTGACTCGGACTTAACTCGGCCAAACCCAGTGGCCATAACACATTTATCCTCCGCGTATCAGATTCTTCTGCTCACAATCCATTTGCGATAATGGCAATTCTCTGCAGGAGCATCGTCTTTAACTCTTTCGCTCTCTTTTTCTCTACTTTGTTCGCTGTCTCCGTCGCTAATTCCTTCTCTCCGACAAATGAGTACCTCGTCGACTGTGGCTCAGTCGTTGACTCAACCGTAGACAACCGCCGCTTCATCGGTGATGTTTCGGCTTCAAATGGAAAGCTTTTCTCATCGGAAGGATCGATCACTCTCCAATCGGAAGATCAAGCTCCGAACCTTCCTCAGATCTACAGAACCGCAAGGGTTTTCACGAAAAAGGCGAAATACGAGTTCATCGTCGTCGAGAAAGGGATTCAGATGGTACGTCTCCATTTCCATCGCTTCAGTTCCTCGAAATTCGATTTCAGTGATGCCGAATTTCACGTGACGGTTAACGGATACGTCGTGATTAGGAATTTTAGCTTCGATGACGAGTTGGGTCCTAGGGTTAAGGAATTTCTGATTTGGGTCGATGTTGGTAAAGTCGTAATAAGGTTGGTTCCTAGTAAAGATTCGAAATTTGCATTCGTTAATGCAATTGAAGTTATATCTGCACCTAAGGATTTGATTGAAGACGTTGCAACCTCTGTTTTCAATAATGGAACTGAGAAATTCAGCGGTTTAGTTAAACAAGCAATGGAAGTTGTTTACAGAATCAATGTTGGTGGGAAGAAAGTGACGCCATTTAACGATACATTGTGGAGAAATTGGGTTCCTGATGATGAATTCATCAAAGTCAGTGATGGTGGTTCTGAGAAAGTTTACTTCTTTGGTAGGATTAAGTATAGGCTTGGAGGTGCGAGTCGTGAAGTTGGTCCTGATAACGTCTATAACACTGCTCGTTTGGTTAGAAGCGACAATGGCTTGGTTTCTCGGGTTGATATGACATGGGAGTTTCCAGTGAGCAGTGGTTACAAGTATCTGATCAGATTGCATTTCTGCGATATAGCTAGCATGTCGATTGGTATGCTATATTTCAACATCTACATCAACGGGAATTTGGCGTATCAAGATCTTGATATCTCCTATGCGACGGATTACGTATTGGCTTCTCCGTATTACATTGATTTTGTGGTGGATGATGAGTAC